CATATTCAAAAGGTGAATAGATGTAAGTAAATGGTAACAGAAGTGACATGGCCCCAAGGCCAGCTGAGGGTGCTTTCTTACCTGGTTGCAGGCTCCCTCCTGGCCTTTTCAGTGTTGAGGTTTCTGCAGGACCGCCCGTCTTTTTTGGGAGAATGAATAAGGGTCACCCACCTGGGCCGCAGTGCCCTTTTGGAAATCCGATATATTGCTTAAACTCTTCCTTCACGGCTTTTCTTTGACTTCTTATTCCCATTGTTACATATTCCTTTAAAAACACACACACACACACACACACACACACACACACACACACACACACACACATTTTTATTGATTTCAGAGAAGAAGGGAAAGGGAGGATTGAAACATCAATGATGAGAGAGAATCATTGGTTGATTGCCTCAGGCACGCTGCCCCTCCCCCTCCCCTCACCCACCTCTTCCCCTCCCTCCCTGAGTTCATCATTCCTCTGACTTCCTCTAGCACATATGGGTTCACATTTGGGCTCAGTCATTTTCTAGCTGGGTGACCTTGGGCAAGGCACTTCACCTCTCTGAACTTGCTTGTAAAATGAGAACAGTCTGACCACAGAGTTGCTTGAGAATTAAATGCTATAGCCTGTGGGATTCTTGAGCCTCAGTATTTTACCAAGTTCTGCATTGGTACATTAATTACTATGGACTCAACTCCAGATCTTACTTGCATTTCACCACTTTTCCCAATTATGTCCTTTTTCTGCTCCAGGCTCCAATTCAGGGCACCACGCTGCATTCAGTGGCCATGTCTCCTTGGTCTCCTCGGGTCTGGGCATTGGGCTGGATACCAGGGGGTTAGAGATAAGTAAGAACGTGCTCCCTGGGAGTGACCAGGCTAAACATCCTGAAGGGAAAGATAAGCAAGTCAAGGTTAGTCAGAGATCAACCCCATCCCCAGCCCAACCTCTAGGAGCATGGCTCACCTGTTTATCTGTATCACTTTGCATTTGCATAAAGATTGATCAGGGCCTCTCTCATTCCTTCAGCTTCCATTGCAGAGGGCGTTCCCTGGCTGCAGTAGTATTGGTACTCTACCCGTCCCTAGGATATGCCTGGTGCTCGCACACACACAAAAAAACCTTCAATTAATGTCTGGGGGATGAATGAGTGGAGAAACAATGATAACTGAGAGCAAGAAGGCTCTGAGGGAATCAATGTAAAATATATGCTGGGGGTGACAGGAGTGGGAGGGAGGAGGAAGGAAAGCTGGGCTAGGAAGAGGTCCTGGAACTGAGAGTGGAGAAGTGGAGAAGGTTTCAACTTGACCTACTGCCTAACTTTGCCAGAGCTATCTTTGACTGTGCCCCATAGAAAAAAAAGTGGGGGCGTTAGGGGGGGAGAGAGATAGGATTTTAAATTTAGACTGAAATCCGTGATTCTAGGTGAGCAAAATGTGGACAATAAGCCAGAACTTTCTAAGCTCGTTAAAGATATGTTCATTGCAGATGAGAGAGCTAGGTAAAATATTTTGTTATGGTTAAATAACATTATTATCTTCACAGGGAGGAAATGATACAGTGAGTCTGAACATTTTATTATTATTATTATTCTTTAATGTAAACTTTGAGAGATGAGAGAACTGTGCTTGGGGATTGGGAGGACGGGACACACATGGTCCTTGGACTTGCACACCAGGAAGAAGGAAGGGCTCTCAGGAAGGGCTGTGGACTTGAAGCTGACTGCATTTTGACTGCAGAACTGCAACAGGCCTGTGGAAGCTGGACAGGGGCTCCACGGAACTGCAGATTTCATTGTGGGCCTTGGAGACGGATGGACCTGGGTGTGCATCCTGACTCCCCGCCTCCTTTGTGACCTTGGACCCATCAAATGTTGTGTCTGTTTCCTTGTGCATACTGACAATGCTAAGAACCTATTAGGGATGTTGTGAGTAGATGAGGTGGTGCAGTGGTCGGCAAACTCATTAGTCAACAGAGCCAAATATCAACAGTACGACGACTGAAATTTCTTTTGAGAGCCAACTTTTTTCAAGCTTAAACTTCTTCTAATGCCACTTCTTCAAAATAGACTCGCCCAGGAAGTGGTATTTTGTGGAAGAGCCACACTCAAGGGGCCAAAGAGCCGCATTTGGCCGGCAGAGCTGCAGTTTGCCAACCACTGAGGAGGTGCAAATAACACATGGCACGAAGAATCAGGTAAATTGTGGTTATGGTTTTGAGTCCTGGAAGTGCAAATTGAGACGTTTTGCTCAAAACCTCTCCAATGGGCTCTTATCTGAGATGAGGGCACCAGATAAGATGACTGGAAATTTTTGACACTATATTTATCAAGCAGTGAGAGTGACTGGTAAAACTTTAAGATAAAGATGGCATTGTGATAAGCCCAGCTGTCTTATTTTTCTTCAATTCTTGGTCTCCGTTTTAGAACCAGACAGCTTGAGGTCTAATATAGATTCACCTGGGGAAACCTGGGCAAGTCATTGAACCATGTAGTGTCTGTCCTCTCCTCTGTAAGAAGACAGGGGTAAAAGTAGTACCTCATGTATATGGAGTGATGTCCTGGAGCCAAATCTTACCCAGCTCCTAAGAGCCTTTAGCATACATCTTTTCCATACTCTGCAAGGTCAGGTTAGTAGCTTGAAATCTACCAAATATTTACACCATAGGAATTGGCAATCACTACAAACCAGGACTACCCCTGTTCCCCCTTCTTTCTCTCCCCACACGCAGCCAGTGGTTAAATATTTACCAGCACACAGCTACTTACAGGATTGTTGCAGTGGTCAAACGAGGGATGCATGCAAAGGGCTCTTCACCGTGAAGAATTCCATCTTTGATGATCTCTGGAACCGTCCCAATGACCTGACACTAAGTAGCTGGACAGGGTCTCTGTTTGAGGGCCATAGTGCCTGACACGTACTGGTAAGTACATAAATACTTATATACTTAAGCATAACTGGATATATGTTCTCTTGCCCAGTACATTTTGCTTTAAATTGTTACTTTGCTTTAAGCATTTATGTGTAGTATGGGACACAATATTTTGAGTCTTTCCAACCTCTTGCTTGTCTGGGATCCCTGCCATCCCCACCCCTATCCTTACAGCAGGAGCAAAACTGTGTTTATCCTGTGATCCTACCCACTGGCTGGTCTTCCTGAGGCGCAGTCTGGCTGGTCTCTTGAATGGAGGGGGTAACTTGGGAGTAATGCTCAGGGGATACTTTCCCACACGAGGACCGGGAAGTAAAGAACACCTATCCAAAACAACGGGAATGGTGAGTCAGATGAGAAGAGGGAAAAAGCAGAGGACAGACATCCTCAGAACCATCCTGGGCCCCCCAGGCCCCTTCTCTCCTCAATGCTGTTCTCGTAGAAAGGCTGGCTGTATCTCTGTCTTGGGGTTCTATCCATCCAGTTGTATTTTTAAGGGACCGTAACAGTGTGTGGCACAGAGTAAGTGCCCAATAAATATTTGTTGAATGGTAAATCAGTGTTGCTTCTTGCTTAAGCTAGCATGGGTTGGTTTCCTCTGCTCTGCATGCCAAAGAATTCTAACAGGACCTGTGGACCCTATGCTTTGTCAAAACCTCAGTCACTGATGGCTAGGGAGAGCTGGCTCCACGACGTAAAACCCCTGGTGTTCATGTGATGGCAGCCCTCAGGAGGTGCAGTCAATAGGAGAAGCAGCCAACTTCTCTGATCTCTAACGGTCTGAGCAATCTCAGTTTAATATATATATATATATATATATATATATATATATATATATATATATATATATATATTACACCATGTTTCCACAAAAATAAGACATCCTCTGAAAATAAGACCTACTTACAGGTTTCCTTCTGAATGAAATATGAGGCATGCCCCTGAAAAAAAGCTTCCCCCCACCCCCCAGGCTAAACATGAGAGATTTGGTCCACGGATTCTGAAAGAAATGGAGTCACAAGAAATTCACCAGGAAATTCAGGAATTGGATTGTTATGATGATGTTCCAGAAGATGATGACATGATTGTCATTGAATAAATGAGTAAATTCTTGATACTGTAGGATTCACAGTTTGTCTGGTTTGTGTTGACAACTACTGTACTACCGTACCATATACAGGTAATAAATTCCCTTTATTTTCATTTAACAATAAATGCGTACCGCATTCTTCTTGATGGAAAAATAAGATATCCCCTGAAAATAAGACCTAGACCTTTGCTCCTTTGGGAGCAAAAATTAATATAAGACACTGTCTTATTTTCGGGGAAACAGGAGATATGTGTGTGTATATATATATTTGAGATATATATATATCTCAAAATGTCTTTCTGTCTTTTGTTTTTGAGGGATTTAAACAAAATTATAGGATCATTTTAGAAAGGCAACGAGGGAGAGAAAAATGACACAATTCTAGGTAATATGCTGGAAAAGAATTTTGTACCACGAACAATGGCTTCATTGGGAAGAAGCCTCTGTATATTTGGAGTGTCCGGGCAATGAGGCATTTATTGGTTTCTAGATCACTGTGAAGAATCCCATCTTTGGTGATCTCTGGAACCATCTCAATGACCTGATACTAAGTAGCTGGACAGGGTCTCTGTTGTGAAGGCCATAACAATATTGCCTCAGGAATGTGCTCAATGGAAAGGACATCTTAGAGAATGGGAATGACCACAATCTCTGATAGCTCAAGGCTTTTAAGAATTTCTCAGTGAGCGGCAAGCAGAAAATTCAACCTGCAGCGCATTAGGAGAGAGCACAGTTGAATATAACAATATTTGCTGGAAATGAAAACACAAACACTTGGCTGTGGGCTTTAAAATGCTGCAAGTGTATTTTGTCTTGGAGATCAGGTTACATTAGTTCTTGAATCTTCAATTCTAATTTGCTAGCATCAGCTCCACAAAATTCAAAAATCTGTTCACAAATACACAAAGGTGAAACGTTTATTGGTTCAAATATTGCAAAGATGTTGAAGCTTTGAGGAGTTCTGTTCCTGCTTGTAAAAATTATCCTCTACTCATTTTTATCATCTACACAATACTTTAAGTAGAAACACGCATTAAACACATTAAACTCATGATGCTTTCATTGTTGGGCACCTTTTCAAAATGGTGTATGCTAGTGTTTTGCCAGACTTCCAGAATTCTCCATGATATTCCTCTACACTAAGGTCTAAGACGTAGATGTTGTTGGCAGTGAGGAAACCCAGTCGCTGAAATCCACTGGTATTGAGGGCTTGTTAACTTACATAGAGGATTTTCTGAAGTCAAAGCACTTGGACTTCCCATCCACTTATGTTTGCTCAGGTAATGGTATTGCAATCATTGCTTCTAAGCAGCGCATTTTCTTTCCAAATGTTCGGGTCTCTGAATCAGGGTGCAACTCACAGTGAATGGGATGTTCTATTTGCAACACTTTTCAGTAGCATATGAAGAAGGGTGCATCTTAGATATGATGAAATAGGAAAGCTATATTCATGGTCATTTCAGTACCAATTGTCTGAGGTAAATGGAGAGAAGGAACAGTGTGGGTAAACTGAGGCTGGGACTTGAATTTCTAGTGAGGGAGGTTTCAGCAGGAAAAAAAAAAAGGTGTTTGGACATTGGAGTAGGGGGTTGGAAAAGGTTAGAACTGACTTCAAAGCTTACTGTGCGGCAGAGAAGAAACTATCCCCACATCAAATGATTCCTCGTCCCCAGCACAGAGTCTGGGGACTGCCTGTGGGCATCATAGCTCATTCTATTCCTTTAAAGTAAAACCCCTGTCTTGTGGCTCACTCTGGATCCCATTTCACTTACCGGCTTTCTCTCGTCTCCACTTCTATAGCAGCAAATTGCTCTTTTGATTCTCGTGAATAGGTTTACCTAAGTGTGGGTGCAGAATTTCATGATTTATCTGGGCTGTCTGGTTTGCAGCCATCTCCTCTAAAAAAAGTTCTCTTAGGCTTGGCCACTGGGGGGAGGAGGGTGTCAGAAGGGGTCTGTACGAGTCTCTCTTTGCCAAGAGTCAGGTGGCAGCTGGATGGTGGCTCTAGGAATGAGGAGAGTCCCATTGTCCTCTGAGGCAGAGCAGGTGTCCTGGCAAGAACACAGGCAGGGCCTGGCCACCTGAGTGACCGACCTTGTCAGGGCGCAGGAAGAAGATACTGAGCTCGGCTAAGTGGCCAGAGTGCTAAGTGCATTGCCAGGAAGCCAGCGGCCCATGAGGCAAGGTGTTGTGAGAGAAACACCTTGCCTCATGGGGAAAAGGCTTTTTACACTTCTTTTCACTTGGAGGCATCAGGACACCGCTGATAGCTCAACCGGGTCTTAAAAGAGCGTCACCCGCTGCCTCTCAGCAACACTGCGGTGGGCTGCAGGGTGTGAGCAGTCTCGGGGTTTCCCCATGGGAGCGGGAGGCAGACATCCTAGGCCTGCAGTCCTCCTCTTGTGGCGTCTGCCTTAGAGTCCTGTCCTACCCCACTGCTTTAGGGTTTGACTACCGTGAGCAGAAGAGAGACACTGGCAAGGAAGGGAGGGAACTTCCCAAGGCGAGTCTGTCCCCCATGACCACCTCCAGTCTAGAAGAAGATAATTCTGGTATTTATTTATTTATTTATTTATTTATTTATTTATTTATTTTTTAGACAGGTCAAGGGTTTTTATAAGGGCGGTGATGTCACAGCTTTGGCTGACCCTGATTGGTTGGGTAAGGGCTAGGGTCCAGTTACACAAAATGGAGGATAGCTCCACCCTAATTCTGGGATCTTTATAGAAATAAATTCAGTGGAGCTGATTGTGCCTGCTTATTTTAGGACCTCCCCTACCGCCAAAGGGTATGTGGAGACAGAGAGAGTTTAGGGCCATTAAAGAAGGGCTTCTTTTCTAGAGGAGACTGTCCCTCCTGCAGGGATGGCACCAGCTGGGGAGGGTGGGGGTAAGAAGTGGGAGGGCACAGCCCAGAAAAGAATTTCCAGGGAGGGGTGTCTCCAGGAAGGGGATTTCCAGGGAGGATGTCCCCTGGTCCTGTGCTGTGACACCAGGACAGCCACCAAGGGCAGCCAGAAGCCACAAGTGCAACAGGAGCCTTGGTCACTGTGGAATTTGACCCCCTTTTCTTCTAGATACACTGAACCTAGTGCAGGCACCATCACCACCCCTGTTACCCGAGCCCAGAAACCAATGTCACATTTAAAAAATTCATATGCACTCAGACAGGATTCAGAACTCATCAGTTTTCGCCTAGACTTCAGCAACGGCTTATTATTATAATATAATGCCTCTTAAGTCCCTTCAATTACCCTTGAAATTCAGAAAACACAATTCCGGTCATGCTATCCTCCTACGTGAAATTCCTCAGTGTTTTTCTATCATCATTAAATCCAAGCTTCTTACCACGGATTCCTTGATTTTATCTTGTCTACATTGGAGCAAAGCTGATTTCCAGGCACTAAAATACAGGTCTGACACTCTGGGCAGTGCTAAGTTTCAGGCATTAGAAGGCACACACTTCTCACACTGTGCCCTAGTTTATTCTTGCTCTGCCCAGTATGCCAGAGGCAAATGTTGCATTTGTGTATAGCACTAACCTTGCACACAGGAGCTTACTGAATGCAAATAACAAAGGAGGAATAGCTTTTTGAGAAGAGCTTATTTCATTAGTAGCTCTATTTTTTTTTTTTTTTAAAGATATAAGTTATACACAGCAACTAGCATATTCTTTCTGCCCAAATGTTTTCTCATTTCAACCTGACTATTTGGCCATGTCTCTTAAAGGTACCCTCCACTCTGAAGCATTAGGGAGTATGTTTACTTCTCTCTTCTCTCAGCCTGCATTTCCCTTGTTTTGCTGGCACCCTCATGGTGACTGCCAACCACATTTATAAGCTCAGGCCACAGAGACCACTGGCCATGGGGTGGCTGTCCATGCACAACAGAAACACCTCTGTGCAACAGTCAGTTAAAAACAAAACTCTTACTTGGTCATTTTCAAATACACATAAAAATAGACCAATGAAACAAACTCCCACTTGCCCATCACCCAGCTGCAACCAGAGGCAGGGTTTCTTTCTTTCTTTCTTTCTTTCTTTCTTTCTTTCTTTCTTTCTTTCTTTCTTTCTTTCTTTCTTTCTTTCTTTCTTTTTTTCTGTCTGTCTGTCTGTCTGTCTTTCTTTCTTTCTTTCTTTTTTTTTTTTTCTTTTCTAAAAACACCAAATCTTCTACAAAACATCTATTACTGTTACTAGGAAAATGCAAAGAGGCTGGAGTCAGTGGTCCCTTCTTAACAGACAGACAAATGAAGGAGTCTGATTACTGATGCCCTCAGAGAATAATTATAATAAAACTAGAGGCCTGATGCATGAAATTCGTGCAGGAGTAGGCCTTTGTAGCTGCAGGCAGCTGCCTCAATCCCTCCCTCTAAGCCGAGGTGGTTGCAGCCCTGGCTTCTTCCGGAAGGACGCCTGGTCTAATTAGCATATTATGCTTTTATTATGACAGATGCTTTGGCCCATTGGTATGCAGTGTGGTTGAGTGGATACTAAAGTTACATTTGGACCCATTGTATGAAAATTCGAGTATTTTCCAGCCATCTGTACTGAGTTCAGACCAGTGACAACAACAACAAAATCCTCAAAGCAACAGCAACAATAACAATACAAACAAAAAAGCCCAACCCATTGGCCCACATGAGACATGTTGTGGGGAGACCTGTAGAAATGTTTGTATGTACAATACAAGTTTGTAATCTGTAATGACAAGATGTCCTTTTTCTTTACGGATGGTTTATGGACTAAGGCAGTCAGTCTTATTAATAAGATAGGAAGGATGTGTCTAATAGGAGAACTTTCAAAAGTCCCTTAACCTTGTACTGCAAGGTGGACAGTGTTGATTAGCTTGTTCTTACCTTGGCCACTTCTCTGACTCCACCCAGACCCATTCCTTCCCCAGGTGTTTGCACACTTCCCCTTTGACTTTCCCAACAGCCAGCTGGGCCTTGCAGATGTGAGCAGGTTGGTTAAGATTCTTGGAGTTGAGCAAAAGCAAACCGAGATGCCAGGGCCTCCTTGGAACAGTCTGTTTCAAACAGCTTGGATTTCTAGGGATGTGAATTCAAGAACAGAGCATGCAAAAGCGCCCTATCATCTTTTTTCTTCTTCTAATCCACACTGCACCTTTTCTCAGCTTGCTCCAATAGCGAGATTTCAGGTAAATACTAACTTCATTCTGTTGTAGCTAATTTTGAAACTCAGAGAGTGTGTGTGTGTGTGTGTGTGTGTGTGTGTGTGTGTGTATCTTAGAGCCTTGGTGGCATAAATAATGACCAAAGTGCTTTTCTCCTTCTGTGTCAGAGTTAGACAAGCTTTTTTGTAAAGGGGCTGATAATACCTCCTTTAGCCTTGCAGGCCATGTGGTCTCTGTCGAAACTATTCAAATCTGCTATGTGGTTCGAAAGTAGCCACAGGCAATGTTGAAACAAACGGGCATGGTTGTGTTCCAGTAACATGTTATTTACAAAAACTGGTGGAGGGTGAGGTTTAGCCTTAGGGCCGTAGCTGGCCAACCCGTATTCTCTGCCACCAGAGGATGCTGTTGAGGGCACACAGGAAGGTGCTTGGGAGCTAGTGACTCAGTACAGGGTGGCTTTCTCTTAAAGGGGAAGTGGGGCATGAGTCCAATGTAGGAATTCATTTCAAGCCCCACTAGAATAGGAAAAGTAATTTTCGACTTTAGTTGGAGGAAGCCAGGGCTGCGAGGGAAGCCTTGGTCCCGGGTGCCAGAGGGAAGCTGGTGCCGCTAGCGAAGGAAGGCAGGCCTACTCTCTCAAGAATTTCTAGTATTATTAAAATATGAGGCCTCTGGTATTTTATATTTTAATAATATTAGAAATTAATGCAAAAATCCATGATAAACAAAACATCAAACATTCAAATGAAGACAGGATTCTTCCCAACACTTGCAATATCCTGCACTTACCTCAGCCTAATAATCCCTGCCCTGGAGAAAAGAGGTACAAAGCCATTACTGCCTTTCAGTTGCTAACGCAGAGAGCAGCACCTTTGGCAACAGCCCCAAAGCTTGCTAAATGGCCAAGAGTGCTTGCTGCACTTTTCCGGCTTTTCCTCCATCTCACTCAGTTCTTGCCTCCTCCAGCCAATTACCCTTATCCCGTGGATCAGCTGCTTATGGGGCTGATAGGCAACCCCTTTTAGGGATCTGCACCCTTTGGGACCTTGGTGGCCATAGGAGAGTTCTTTTTTCCCTTCTCACGCAGGACCCTTCCTTAAACCTGTTAACCGGGGAGTTCCCTTTTTAATGACGCAACCTGTAACGGGCGCGTACTCTTTCACTAGGACGTGTCAGTACGTCACGCCCGGAGGACATAATTTCGTATTATTTTTATTTATTTATTTTCATTTATTTATATATATAAAGCACAAAGGAAAATACAAAATTACAAAAAAAATAGAAAAGAATACCGACAAAAAAAAATGGACACTTCGAATTAAAAAATTATAAATTTTACAAACAATGATAAAGATTACAAAAAATAGCCAAAACTGGCTTGGCTCAGTGGATAAAGCATCCGCCTTCGGACCTAAAGGTCCCGGGTTCGATTCCGGTCAAGGGCATGTACCTTGGTTGCCGTCACATCCCCAGTGGGGGGTGTGCAAGAGGCAGCTGATCGATGTTTCTCTCTTATCTCATCGATATTTCTAACTCTCTATCCCTCCCCTTTCCTTCCTCTCTGTAAAAAAATCAATAAAATATTAAAAAACAAAACAAAAGATTACAAAAAATATATACCGTCCCTCTCGGGGCACAACATATATTTCAAGGACATATTAATACGTCCTACTCATTCCCGATATTGTTTATGTTTGACGTATTTATAGGTCCCGCTCGGTTAACAGGTTAACAACTTGGATGTCATTGGGTCGGTAACTCCCCAATGCTAAGACGACTTAGCTTATTATAGTTATTCAAAGAGCTGTCGAGATATCTCACAACAGTTATTTCCAAATTTCTCTCTATTTCTACATTTTCAGAAAGATAGGTGCACAGGGAGACCCTAGCAGCTGTTTTGTACCAAGTCCAGTGCTCGGGCACCTTATGTAAACTTTCATGACAATCAAAGACATAAGAGAGAGTCCTGTTTTACAGAGCAGAACATTGAATCTCAAGGTGGTTAAAGCATAGTCCCAAGGTCACATACTAATAAGAGGAAGACTTGGGATCCAATCTACAGCTGTCTGACTCTAGAAATGGTGGAAATGAGTATCTGCAGATACTCTTTTCAGCGGGCGAGTCAAGCACGACTTTCTATGAGCTTGACAGTGAGAGCATTTGGGAGGTGATTTTCCAGGAACCACCCTACTCTTCCCTTCCTACTGTCTCACCTATGGTCCCTGCCTGACCCTTGAGGACACTGAGTGTGTGACTCCTGCCTCCAACACTGTCCTCTTTTCAGCACACAATGTTGCTGCCTATTTAGAATTCTTTTCTCCCCTCTCCCTGCTTCAAGGAGCATACTTGCTAGAAATGACTTCCACGACCTCTGATCTCCACAAGGGCCTTGTGCTTCAGGAGGCAAACGTTACCTCCCAATTATGACAAGAGCTCAGTTCTTCTGAATTATTGTTTTGCGAATAATTCATTGATTAGCATCTACCTCTCCATATCTCATCATTCTCAGGAGAGGACTGACGTGCATTTTATTCTAACAAAGAATAAAAGGAGGAACCGACAGCTGACAGTGGCCTCTATTCACGCAGTTGGCCAAGACTTGCTAAGTCTTTGTCATTCTACCTTCCCCTACTCTGTGGACATACACCAACTTTGGTCTGGAACTGAAGCCTTAACCAAGGGGATCTATTGATCACCTTCAGAGGCTCATCGAATACCCTATTACATTCTGGTTTATGTGCATTTTGCTGGATAGAGTTTATAGGCTCTCAAGAGGGTTTATAAACCAAATTTATGAACTAATTTACAATGAAATACAGTATAAAATTCTGGTTACAAAAACCAGCGAAGGTTTTGGATGCCCCACTTGGAAGACCCCACAACAACAGACATTTTTTAAAAACCACAGTTACTCTTATTAGAACACTAAGGAGCACACCAGGCAGGAACAAGCCCACTTTATCACGTGCAATAGGTTTTGGCTGTCCTGTGCCCTAAAACTGAGAAACAACGACAGCTATTGTTTATAGGGCATCCCTGCCATGTATTTGTTCAACCTCTGGATGGAAACTGCCAGCACCAAGAAATGCCCATTGAAACAGCATGGCCCTAGGTCATTGTTACATGGCTGAATTGGCTTTAGCTTTTTAACGTTTTATTTTGTTTATGTTCTATATACCTTGAAGGTATTTGAAATGAGCTAGAATCAAGAGCAAGACAGAATAACGGAACCTTGAAAGGATGGTGCTGTGTAGAGAATGCCAGAAACCTGGCTAAGGGAGGCCTTGGTATCTGAGTGACGGAGGTAATGCAGAGGTTCTTGGCAGCAATGGGAAAACAGAAACCCAAGGGATTCCCTAAGCCTTCTGATTGAATGCAAGGGAGAGGATTATATTTTTAAGGGAGGCAGACATTTTCCAAAGTCTATGATCTAAAAGGAATTGCCATAGGATTTTGGTATAATCTACATTAAAAATAAAAGGGACAGTGGTTCTTTGCCAGTGAATGGAGGCCCGGAGCAGAATAGAAAGAATTCGGTCAAGATGTGGTGGGTGAATGGATTTAGGAAGTAGAGAGCTTCCTCAGTTTTGAGATAAAAGAAAGGAAGACTCAAACAAAATGAGATGTAGGCGGGGGTGGTTGTGAATGTATATATTAAATAGCTTCAATTTTCAAGTAAAAGCTCACAAGAGGGACTAGGTAGTCTTTTTTTTTTTTGAAACATAATTTAAATCTACTATACTGATTATGTACAGTAAACATATACACATAGAAGCTGAGCATAAAATTCTACAGCTAGCATAGTATATCATGTGCTTTTATTCTTCATATTGCAGACATACTCTTTAGAGAGTTTAAGCATGATTTTTTTTACTGTACATATATTCTTCATAAAACTTTTTAATTGATACTATTTCATAGCGTAGATATATCATAAATCACTTAGCCATTCTACTAAAAAATAAGGCATCTGGCTTCCTTCCGTATTTTATTAGCAATAATGTGACAATCACTATGCACATAGCTGTTTATCTATCCTTGCAGTATATCTGAAGCAAAATTTCCCAACAATGGAATAATGTGTGAAGGGCAATTAAATGTTTGTTTCTCTGAACAGAGTTGCATAAGGTATGCACAATCATCAATGTTCTCAGCCATGTTTCAGTTGAAAATTACCAGTGTTATCACACACCAAGTATTTCAGACATTTCATTCCATTGATATCTTCATGAGATAATGTACCGAGTGCTTAAAGTGTGTCAGGATGGGTCTAAAAACTTAACTCATGTCAATTCATTTAATTCTCATATCCACTTCATGAGGGGGAAAGCTTATGATGATTCATGTTTTTATAGCCAGGGAAACTAAGACACAAAGGGGTTGTTAACTTCACTTCTAGAAAGTGGTGGCTCTGGTGTTTGGACCATAGAAATCTGAATCCAGAACCTACCTCATCCACCAATGGACTTTATAGCCTTGCGATGGTTTTTGCTTAATTAACATTTCCCCAACTGTTGCTAAAAATGTGTATACATTTTGCATGACAATTTCATCACGTCCTTTTTTTGTGAGATTCCTTTTGAAGTGTTCTGCCTCAGATAGACATAAGAGTGGAGTATTTCTTACGAATTTGGACACCTCAGAGGGTCTGAATATTGAGATCTATTATAATTCATGCTTTTTTTTTTTTTTTTTTTTTTAACGCATTGCCAATATGTAAAGTTCAGAAACTAAGAATTACATTGCTAGGTATTAAAAACAAACGCAGTGGTTTCATCCTTTTTAGACTCTGATAGTTCTATAATTTCTTTCAACTTTGTCAGTTATCATGGAAACATACCTTTTTGGATTGCTTGTAAAACTGAAATGTGGGTATTACTCTGACATTACAAATGTGGGCCAGATCCTGGGAAAGAAAAGAAAAGAAAAGGCATGGAGTCACAACTTTGGTATCCTCTGTCTTTTTAAAAATATATTTTTAATTAAATTTTTACAGAGAGGAAGGGAAAAAGATAGAGTTAGAAACATCGATGTGAGAGAAACATTGATCAGCTGCCTCCTGCACACTCCCCACTGGGGATGTTTCCATAACCAAGGTACATGCCATTGATCAGAATTGAACCCGGGACCCTACAGTCCGCAGGCCAATGCTCTTTCCACTGAGCCAAACAGGTTTTGGCTGGTATCCTCTGTCTTTACTAAGCATGGAGCTTGGTGATTTCTCAGGAGATCGATATGAAAGCTCAGGGACAGCAGACATTTATAGATTCTCCTGCCAACAAATCTTCTAACATATCAAAGCTCCCAGAAACATTACAATAAAAAATGACTGTGCCCAGCATTCTTGAGCTTTATTACCCGGAGCTCTAGAAGAGAGGTGAGAGATGGAAGCCAAGACAGAATGGATTAAATGACTAAATGCGCTCTGTTTCGAGAGTTTTCAAAAGATCGCAGAGAGCCCCATTGGAACCTAGGGAGGGTAGAGGGAGAATATTGCAAACACAAAAACTAAAAGGAAGAAAGGAAGAGTAAAGGTATCTATAACTCACACTTGGGGCATGCGGTGATGTGACGGTCTACCATTTTAAGTACATGACTTACCTGTTTCTTTTACTTTTTTTTTTTTTTAAACCTTCACTGACCACCTGTGTAAAAATTCTAGAACAAAAACCCAAGACAAAAGTAAAAATTTCAATTGTGTCAAACTGTTAAAATCTGCTTTCAATGCCAGTTTTTATTTATGTTGTTTAGAGTTGAAAGAAAATTGGCCACCCACAGAATCAACAGAATTGAGCTTTTCTCCATAAAATTCTTAGCACTTTATGGCACCAAATCTCTCTCCTGCTAACTATAGCACACACACAGACACACACACACACACACACACACACACACACACACACAGACACACAGACACACACACACACACACACTAAATTATAATTTCCATGACAACAACTAATAAATAAATTGCTATTAGGAAAGAAAATTGTGCATTTTGGTTAACTTTAAAAGACAAAGAGCTAAAAAAAAAAAAAAAAAAAGAGCAAGCAATAATGCGTTAATGAGGTTGTGGAGAAATCAGAATGCTCAGATGTTGCTGGTGGGGCTGTAAAATGGTTTGTCAATTCCTTAAAAAGTTCAACATCGAGAAACCATAGGACCCAGCAATTCCACTCCTGGATATATACCCACGAGAACAGAAAACGTATTAAAGGGCAGAGTGGGTGAATAGCAGATTTTTCATTATTCTGAAGCTCAAATTTAACCTAAGGTATGGATAGGTCACTAGTTAATGGTACTTTTCCTCATTATAAGTGAACAAATGTTGGGAAGAGTAATTCTGCAGGCACACTGTGTGCATTATTAATAAGGCACATTTTGATTGGCTCATTAATTTGGAGGGGGGATGGGCAGAGAAAAAACATGAGGGAAGGATTTCCTGGAATTGCTTGTGAGTTTTAGAAAACTCCCCCCACACACAAAAAAGACATAGCTAGAGAAAAGTAAAATATATTAACGTGTGTGTAATGCTACCCAGTTGGCGTGGCTCAGTCACTGAGCGTGGACCTATGAACCAGGCCGTCAGGGCACATGCCTAGGTTGCGGGCTCAATCCCCAGTAGGGGGCATGCAGGAGGCAGCCAACTGATGATTCTCTCTCATTGATGTTTCTATTTTTCTTTTCTTTTCCTCTTCTCAAATGAAATCAATAAAAAGATATTTAAAAAATTAAATGTGTGTAATGCATTGAGTTAGAAATTGATTAATAATAATCTATGACAGGGGCGAAATCACTTTTCGCCTCGAGCTCACCTCTAGCCATCTGGTATTGCCTGCCTCCGGCCACCCCACTGAGCAGGTTTCCAGCAGAGTCCAGAGAACACTGGGACACCTCAGAGATGTCAGCTACAGTATGAGCGGGGAGGGGAGGCAAGGGCGGCCGGAGAGCCGCACATTCGCTGGCTTTTTGTTTGTTTGTTTTTTTAAGCTATCCAAAACATACAAGAGCTTTACGAGGGAGTTTTCAATAGTTTATCAGGAAGAATTGTGAAATTCTACTTGACTGTAGATGGACTATAATCACTGACCCAATGCTCTCAAGGACATCATATTTGGGCTTTACATGGAAGGATTTCAGACTCTTACCCGAGAATCGTCGACATCCACATTAGCAAATAAAACATTTTGGTAATGGAGAGACATTGCCTTGAAAAATAAAAGAACAAACATTTCCTGTTAGCTTAGTGTTAATATTAAACTATACATTTGAGGTATTTTTTTTTTTTTTTTTGGCAAACCAAGAAATGAACAAAAAGGGTGTTCAAGACAGCTAAGCATCATTCTGGCCTTTCACTGCTGTCTAGAATTTGAAGTACCAAAGTCAAATGTCAGATAATGCCAAGGTCAAGCAAAGGTCCATGGTAGAACCAGAGACTGAAGAACCAAACTGAAGACCAGAGTTTCAAAGTTGGAAAAGGACACAAAGCAAATAAATAATGAAGTGTGTGTGGTAGACCCGGATACTCTGTGGGATGGAGGGAGAGATGGTAGCTTTTTCCTGGGGGGTGGGGACGGGTGGGGGGGAGGGAGAGAATATGTCTTCTGTAATCTGAAAAATACAGATCTCTGCCTTTACTTTCTCTTAGGTCCTTTCTGATCAGGCCTCAGCCTCCTTTTTGAAACTCATTTGAGGCCACTTCCACTGTGCACATTGTAAGTTTGCCTCACAGACTGCTTGCCTCACCATGAACACACCAAGCAATTTCTCAACAAATTTGTAACATTCCTTTCCAGAAATGCTCTGAATTATATGCCTGATAATTCACTCAGCCCAGGGTTAGCAAACTATGCACTGGGCATTTAAAATATATATATGATTATATTTTACTAAGTAGAATATTTTACTTAGTAGAATATTTTACTAAAATATTTAATAAGGTAGATCAAAGATACAAAAGAAATATGATGTAAGGGATATATGTTTTGATAATAGGGTTGAAGGATTGGGGGTAGTTTATTTTTTCATGTTATAATTTTTAAAAGTATCATGTTTATCTAGAATCTAATCCAATACTGAGAAGTCCTGAACTCAGGAACTTTGGTAAAATGTCATTTTTATGAATAATCCATTCACTTGTACAATTGTCTTCTTTGGCACATCTGATGTTCCTTGGAGAATTATCCATAGACAAATAGTCTTAATCTTCTGGGGTGTGTACCATAATTTCATAATGGTTCATAAGTGCCACACTTAAGATTTTTCTGGGAACAATATTTAGGGACTTTGAATTCATGCACATTAAATTCCTTCTAAAGCTGTGAAATAGAGACTGATGATACTTACATGAACAAGAGGACAAATCTTTTTGCAAGGACCACACCACTTTGCTGAAAATTCAACCACCACAAGTTTGCAGCCGGCAGATTTCAAAAGTGTTTTTAATTCTTCCTGAGACCAGAACATAAATGAGGAAATGTGCACAATCACTGAGACTCATAAAGTTTTACAAAGTATAAAATGACAGGTTAGTTCTTAAACACCTTAGCCAGCTTCCCCACATCATTGTTCTTTAGGTGGCCCAACCTTTTCTAAATGTCCCAGAGGTCAAATATATTAACCTTTTAAGTACATATAGCGATGGACTGCTCCCCTGCAAATTAGGATTGTTTGTAATGGTTGTTCACCTCTGGGGAGAAAATGGGATTGGTCAGCGAGAGATGAGGGGTGAAGGGTGAGGTTGCATGGTTCAAGGTGAACATCTATATTTGATTTTTTGTGTGTCATTTCTCACCAGAGGATATTTTTCCATTGACTTTTAGAGAAAGTGGAAGGGAGGAGGAGGAGGAGGCAAACGAGAGAGAGAAACATTGTTATGAGAGAGACACATTGATCGGTTACCTCCTGCATGGGCTTGACTAGGGCTGAGGATGGAGCCTGCAACCGAGGTTTGTGCCCTTGACTGAAATGGAACCCAGGACACTTCAGTCCGCAGGCTGATCCTCTATCCGCTGAACCAAACAGGCTAGGGCTATATTTGATTTTCTAAACAAGGACCCAATCACACATTAATAGTGAGATTTAAAAGAAGAACTAATCTAACAACTTCAATTGCTTGTTTTGTTTGAGTGATCATTGTTAAAGCTGTCATCAGAACCATACATTTAAGGATTGGACATGCTTCCTGCTGAATGTCTTAAGTGAATTTTCCATCATCTGCCCATCTCATCTAAGTGTGCAGGGTTTCCCTTCCTGCCACCTCAGGCCACAGTGTCGGTATTTGTTCGCTTTGTGAACAGTGATGGTAGGGCATGGCTTATCTCCCCACAAGACCCTACAGAACCCCATCCAGATTCATTCCTTCACCTTCATGGACTCTGACTGGCACCTGATAAGTGATCTTGGAATGTTTAGTTAACTATGTTTGGTAATATCTAGTGTTCTAGTCAAGATTTATTTCCTTTTTCCTTTTCTGACTGGAATTGCAACAGTAGTTAACTTACTCTGTATCTGGTATTCTCTCCCTTCATCTTTAAAACCACCCTATGGAGTGGGTGTTATTAGCATTATCTCCATTTTACAGATGAAAATGGATTAATTTTTCTCATGGCCAGCCAGCTGGTGAGTGGTGTAGTTGGGAATTAGGCAAGTGGTTAATTCCATACCAATGGCACATGGCCCTATGGGGTGGGCAAATGTAGGTTTACAGTTGTTCATATGGGAAAATATATAATACAAGAATAAAGTCTGTGTTTCATGTACTCACAACTGTAAAACTTCTTTTGCCCACCTCTGTATAATAGGGGAGCCTTGACATGTACATTGCCATTTGGTTTAGTTTCAAGCAGGTGAAACTGATGGCTTAAAAAAGATACGTTCTGGCCTAATCAGTTTGGTCAGTGGATAGTCAGCCTGTGGACTCTAGGCTCCCAGGTTCGATTCCACTCAAGGGCATGTAACTTGGTTGTGGGCACATACCCAATAGGGGGTGTGCAGGGGGCAGCTGATTGATCTTTCTCTCTTATTGATGTTTCTAACTCTCTCTTCCGTCCTCTATGTAAAAAAAAAATCAATAATATATATATATTTTTTAAAAAGATACACTCTGTTCCATAACACTGATTTTTTAGGACAGCAATTTTCAACCGGTGTGCCTCAAGAATTTTTAAAATAGTCAATACCGAACTAGTGAGGGGCATTGACCTATTTTCCCTTAGATTGTGAAATAAAAAGATGACAAGTGCCAACACAATAGCTGTCCAATGTGAAAGAATCAAAGTTATACCTATTTATTTTTTCCAATGGGCAAAAATATGTTTTTTGATGTGCTACAGAATTTTAATAATTCATTTATGTGTGCATGAGGTGGAAAATGTTGAAAATTGCTGCTCTAGGACATGGAAAAATTAACTTGTCAGGGAGCCACACCAGGACTCTATTTTTCAGTTGCTTCTGAAGTTATAAGGTAGATCCCATCCATCTTCACAAATCCCAACCCCTCACATCTCAGCAGCTGTTAGGGTATAAACTGGCCGAGTGTGAGTGATGAAGTTGGCTAAGTTCTCTGAAGAGAATATCCCATAGAATATGTGTTGACTTAATATGTATCTATTGAGGCCTGTTCTATGCCAGGTCCTGGACACACTGCTAGGATAGAAAGCAGGACAAAACATTCCCTGCCTTCATGGAACTTATATTTTAGAGGGATAGCTGATGGTAAGATTGATGGAAAGATCAATGAGTAACAAATATCATGCGTTAGGCATCATTGCTAATAAAGAGAAAAGGAGAAGAATAGAGTTGGAAGAAACTATGGAAGCTGGGTTACAATTGTAGTCTGGGTGGCCAAGGTCCACATCGATGAGAAGGGGGCTGCGGAATAAAGACATGGAGGAGAGAGCAGACCTCTCCTGAGGAGGCGATGGACAAGGCTTCTCAGGATGGGTAGGCTTCTCAGGGAATGGGTTATACTGAGAGACTCCCAGAAAATTCAAAAACAAAGCACCAAAAGCATTAGCAAATGAGTGCCATATATATTTCAGAGAGGAAGGGAGAGGGAGAGAGAGAGAGAAACATCAGAGATGAGAGAGAATTACTGATCCTTTTTCCTATCCTACTCCATAGGAATCTCTCTTCTGTTCTCTTTCCCAGAATAAGAGAAGTACATGAGCTCTTTTACTTCTAGAGAATTTTCCAAGTACAGCCAAGGTACAATCTGTGGGATCAGAATGGGATATGTTAGGAGCTGGCCTGAATCCAGCCAGAGTCAGGGGCGAGAAATGAGCACTAAGGAGGAACAAAGCCCTTTTGGGTCTATTTGTCCCTTGGCTATTCTTTAGGTGGTGCCACCTTTAAGAAACAGCATGAAGAACAAGCATTTCAAAATTTCCTCTTGCCACAAAGCAATAAATAACTCTTTTTTAAAGAGTGGAGAAATAACTTTTTAAAAAATATATGTTTTTATTGATTTCAGAGAGGGAAAGACAGAGAGAGAGAGAAAGAGAGAGAAGGAGAGAGAGAGAGAGAGAGAGAGAGAGAGAGAGAGAGAGAGAGAGAGAGAGAAACATCAATGATGAGAGAAAAATATTGTTCAGCTGCCTCCTGCATGCCCCACACTGGGGATTAAGCCTGCAACCTTGGCATGTACCCTGACCAGGAATCGAACCATGACTTCCCGGTTTATAGGTTGATGCTCAACCACTGAGCCATGCCAGCTGGGTGAAAAGAATTATTAAGGTTGATAAAAATCTGTTTCAAGATGGTCTCTATTGAAATATTCAATGAAGCCAATAAGTACTCACCTCATCTTTAATGTACTGCATCATGAGTTACACCAGGAAATTGCTGATGAAACTCTCCAGTTGGTTCAGCTGGCTCCCTGTAGCTGTGTCATATCATTATAGGACCTTAGCTGGAACTTGGGGTAGCTTCTCTATGACATCATTAAACCTGACATCTCAGAACCTAGAACTTTGGCAGACTTAGAACTAATGTCGTTTTTATGCCATGACTATTAGTCGACATGTGGTCAGACAAGATTCAGCCAACTGCAGATGCAGTAATGTCTATTTTTGACCTCCTGAAACCCATTTCCATGCAGCCCTGTCCCTTCCCCAGGCCTGCAACCACCAAATGAGAACTCAACAAGGTATCAGTAGATGGGTGAGCGTTATTATCAGTGAGGGTTTTGAAGGGGTTATTTTGCAGTTGAGGCAAACATTAACGTCTTACTCCTATAATAAGTTTCCTGTAAATTTGGTTTTATGAGTCACAGATTCCCTACACTTGGTTATTTTGCTCTAATTATTTACAAGGCAAAGAAGCTTCACTTGGGTGCACGGGATTAGGGGCTGGCACACTTTTTCTAGAAAGGCCCTGACAATAGTTGAAGGTGTATAGATCACATATGGTGTTTGTTGCCAATTGTTTTTTAAAAAATTTATTTTTATTGGTTTCAGAGAGGAAGGGAGAGGGAGAGAGAGATAGAAACATCAGTTATGAGATAGAATCATTTATGGGCTGCCTCCTGCACACTCCACAAATGGGGGTTGAGCCCACAACCCGGGCATGTGCTCTGACTGGGAATTGAACCAGGATCTCCTGGTTCATAGATCGATGCTCAGCCACTGAGCCATGCCACCTGGACTTTGTTGCATATTCTTAGCTGACAAAAGCAGCAGCAGTTCACCAAACCCTGCACATGATGACTTGTCATTTTCAGAATTTAGTGTCAGAAAACCCCCCAAATATGGCCACACTGCGCTGGCCATACTGCAGGGTTGGCCAACGTTTATAAACTGCAATGTTTTAGGAATAAACAAAGCTTCCTACTCATCTTGAAACAAGTTGTGAGGTCTGGCCCACCCAGGGCCTCAAGTCCCGTGTTTCATGGTAACTGCAAGATGGAGAGAGAGAGGCTGCCCCTCAGAGGGGGCATGGTCCATCCATTTGACTCCCAACCCCACTGTCTCCTTCTTACTTCCAGAACTCCAGGTGCCATTTTGTTGATGTTGTGGGTGTGCAGCTACATTACCTTTATTATAATAACAAGTATTTGAAGCATTTCTAATGCGTTTCTCCATGATCTGCTTTCTTCTTTCTTCTTTGCCTCTGTGGTGCTGCTCTTATTTATATGACTTGGCTTCTAGTGCTTTTTGAGTTTGAGACCCCTGATGTTGTTGCTTCTACCATCGCAGCCAGGAATCTTATTGATGGTTACATATTGGAGATGAATCATGTCTGTCTCCCTTTTCTTTCCTCTCTTTTCCACCCAAGAAGGAAAGGCGATGTTTACACATCCTGACCATCTTCCAAGGCCTCAGTTAAGAAATGCTGATAAGACGTGTGGGTTTGTTTCCAGGCATCACTTTCATTTTCGTCAACTTACAAGCACCCAGTTAGTGAAGGCGATTGTCCACTCTACCGATGAGTCGACCGAAGTGAAACAAGTTTGTGTAACTTATCCTCGCTAGAATTCATTTAGAATCCAAGACTGGGCCACCTGTCACATAGGGAGGAACACAGCACCAGCTAAAACATGCACATCTCTTAAAAGAGCCTTCAATTCCTGGATGAATTGGAGTCAGAGTGATTTGCTTTTGCTTCTGCACCAAGAGGACACTGACCATGACTACCCTCCCTTTCCTTAAAAAAAAAAAAAAGAGCTGTTCTTGAACTTCACTGCATTTGGAAAGAACACAGTACAGAATTAACTCTCAGCCACAGCTACTGTGTGACAAACAGACAGATACCTGCCCTCCCTGGTCCCTGGAAGGGAGCAAGACTGGGCAGTACTTTGCTTTTTGGTGCTGGCTGACTTTTTCACAGAACTTACTGCTAGCAGCTTGCCCAGCCCGAGGGCAGGGACAGAATAAGCTGACGCCTCCCAGAAGCCTGTTTGTTCGTAAGCAGAGGAAACGCTATTAAAAACCCAGAAAACGGTCACATTCGCAGAATGAACAGCATTTTAATATGTTACAGAGTGTAGGGCAAATTTCTAGTCCTGGAAGAAAGCCCTTGGTCATGTATTTTTCAGAAAAAAAGAAAAATTCTAGGCTTTCCATTGGCACTTGCCTGCCTTCTTTCTTCCCTGACATGCGCCCACATGTATTTTCCTAGACTCATTTCTGACCTCACCATGGGACTCATTAGCTCCAAGACAATCCGGGTGGAGTCTCTTTTTGAGAAGTCAGGGTTGAGTGCTTTTTGTTTTTTGTTTTTTTGTTTTGTTTTAAAATAATTCCAGGGTGGAATCCTACATGGGTTGGGAATCTTAAATATTGAAAAAATTAACAAGAAAAAACAGTTGGAGGGAAAGAAACAAAGAGAGAAAGGAAGAGAAAGGATGAAAATAAAGCCTGTGAGAGGAAAAGGGAGAAGGAAAGCCCAAAAGATGGCAAAGTGAAAATTGTTTACAAAACTATAAAATAAATAAATCATCCATATACTTATTTATAAACCACCTCAGAACTTAGAGACACACAGAGATAGTAAATACCACAGAAGTAGATAGGGAATTACTTAATACAAAACTCAGGTGACTATTAAGGAAGAATGTCAGCTTATTCTTTCTTACCAAACGCCCAGATGGTATCTTGTTTTGTGTGTACAGGTTCAGCTTTAACTTCATGTGAGATGGACTTGGTCAAGGACATACATGAAAGAGAGATGAGAGAGGCTGCTCTAAAGTGTTGCGTGGAGGAAGAGAATTGTGTCCATTACTAGAATCTTAATACTCAGTATGCTCTGCAGACTAGCAGTACCATCTGAGAATTTGTGAAAAAGGAAGGAAGAAAAGGAGGGAAAGAGGGAGGGAATAAAAAAGGGAGGGGGGACACGGAAAACCGTGTGGTGGTTACCGGAAGAAAAGGGGGTGGGGCAGGTGAAAGAGGGTGAAGGGGATCAAATATATGTGACAGAAGGCGACTTGACTTTGGGTGGTGAGCACACACCACAATATACAGGTGATAGAACTGTCCACCTGAAATCTGTATGATTTTATTAACCAATGTCCCCCAATACATTTAATAAAATTGAAAATAAAGAAAGAAGCTACAGGAACAACAACAACAACAACAACAGAATAGTAAATGAAAGGAGGGGGATGGGAAGGGAATTGTATACAGGAGGATAATGGATTTGTAAGTAGGACTTGCATTACGTGGACAAGAAGGGTGCATTCTTTTTAGTTCTCTAAGACCTTACTATCTAAGGTCACATGTGTAGACTTTAGCATTACCTGGGAGCTTTATAGAAATATAGAACTTCAGGCTCCACCCCAGATCCAGTGAGTATGAATCCATATTCCAGGATTCCCAGGTGATTCTTAGGTTTGAGAAGCACTGCCTTAAACATACCAGGGCGCTGTCTGTGGAACAGAGGACCTGGGACATGATGTATCAGCGTTGCCTGAGAATTGGAAGAATTGCCAATTCTCAGGCCCCACCCTGGACTTACTGAATCAGAATTTCTAAGGGTGAGGCCCGGATGTATATGTCTTAACAAGCTCTCCAGGTGATTGTGCTGCATGTTCAAGTTTGAGAATCACTCAGTTTAGAAGCTGTCTAGAGGAAGTAAATGTTAAAAGAGAGTAAGTGGAAGAGAGAAGGGAAGATTTAGATTGAGGTTTTTCTCTACCAGGGAACTTCTATGTGGGGACATTATGAGGTCAGGGCATGGAAGTCTTCCACTTTTATGGAGAGCAAAGGGACCAGACAACTAGATTAAGAGGCATTCTCACTTCCTACCACTATGTCCATTACCTTTTGAGTTTATCATCTTTATTTGAGACAGAATTATTAAATCTTTCCCCCTCTCCCCATCATGTATGCCAATGGTTGGCAAACTGCGGCTCACGAGCCACACTGTGGCTCTTTGGCCCCTTGAGTGTGGCTCTTCCACAAAATACCAATTGTGGGCACACACATACAGTGCGATTGAAACTTCGTGGCCCATGGGCAGAAGTCGGTTTTTGGCTCTCAAAAGAAATTTCAATTGTTGTACTGTTGATATTTGGCTCTGTTGACTAATGAGTTTGCTGACCACTGATGTATGCTTTTGTTCAAGAAGGAGTGTAGCCAACATGTTCAATGGCATGGGGAGGACCTTACATCCCCAAGTCAAAGTCATATCATTTTACTTTAAATAATGGATGATAAATAAATCCAGCCAGGGAAGGTCCTCAAATGGAGAAGGAATTTAAGGGGTCAAAGATGAGGAATCTAGTGCCTGGTTGTGTGAGGTTGCCAAGGATACAGTGTGGGACATACTTTAACCCTTTACACATACCCTCCACTCTTTGACGTGGACAACTATTCTTTTTGATGTTAAATAGAGTCATATACAAGTGGACTTTCGGGCTCCATTTTCCACCACATTGCTGCACCTATGAAGCCACTGCTCTTGTAATGTTCAGTACAGTCTCTTACCACTTTATGGCAATCCAGAAAGATTACAAAGACGACTGTAGCTGTTTAGTGTTGCACTTTACTTGCTCTTCTTTTTAAAATTTTATTATTTTATTTTATTTTTATTGATTTTTCACAGAGAGGGAGAGGGATAGAGAGTAAGAAACATTGATGAGAGAGAATCATTGATCAGCTGCCTCCTGCACACCCCCCCATGGGGGACGTGCCCGCAACCAAGGTACATGCCCTTGACCAGAATCGAACCGGGGACCTTCCAGTCCGCAGACTGACACTCTATCCAATGAGCTAAACCGGTTTCGGCTACCTGCTCTTCTTGAGGCTGTAGTTGGAGAGGACCTACACTGAGTAGAGAGGAAGGGCTCGGGGAAGCAGCCAACCTTCTCTTCTCCACTCTATTC